AGCTTGGTTTGGAGAGTGGCCAGGGAGTGGCAGGAGCTGCCAAAGGAGTTGCTGCTGGTTTTGCCCTTGCACAAGGAAAATGGGGCAGTGCCCAAGGAGGGATTTGGGATTCTCAAGCAGATCCCTCCCAGAGCTGAAGAAGATCTGGACCCTGATTTTATAAATAATTTTCCCAGAGTTTCAGTGCAGTTCTTTCCTCTGTGCCCTTTGTTCCCAGGACTGAGGGTGCTGTGCTCTGTGGGCTTGGCTGCTGCAGCAGCCAGGCTTTTCCCTGGATAGCTGTGTGCCACATCCAGCATTTTCAGCTTTCCAGGGATATTAATAACTCCCCATGCATCCTGCCAGGTGCAGGCCCCAGCTCTTAACCTCCTTTTAATCAAATGGGAATTGCTGATTGCTCCTTCATGTGGCAGCCAGGTGCCTTTGCTGTCAGCTTCCTCTCAGGGAAAAACCTCTCTGCTTCAATCCTGGACTTCCCTGGTTCCAGCAGGCAGCACTCAGGGTCAGCAGCACCCCCAAAGTGTCAGTGGGAATGTGAAATTTGTGCCCCCTGTGAGCACAGAATCACAGAATGGTTTGGGCTGGAATGGACATGGATGCCTTACAGCATCCCAGGCTGCTCCAGCCTGACCTTGGGCACTGCCAGGGATGCAGGGGCAGCCACAGCTGTGCCAGGGCCTGCCAGGGAACAATTCCTAATTCCCAATATCCCATCCTCTGTTAGCATGAAGCCATTTCCTGTATCCCATCCCTCCATTCACTTACCCCAGCTCCCTACAAAACACCTTTTATCGAACAACATTCCAACACCATGCAGGCATTTTTATAGCTGTGATTTTCCTTTCCTTGCCTCCCTGTGCTTCCCTTTTCCAGGGGCAGCCACAGCTGCTCTGGGAAATCCATTCCAGGGCCCAGCCGCCCTCAGGAGCAATTCCTCCCCAAAATCTCATCCTCTTCTCCTGCCTCTCCATTCACTTACCCCAAGTCCCTGCACAACACCTTTTATCCACCAGCATTCCAACCCCATGCAGGTGTTCTTACAGCTCTGATTTTCCTTTCCTTCCCTCCCTGTGCTTTCTTTTTCCAGGGGCAACCACAGCTGCTCTGGGAAATCCATTCCAATCATCAATCTCTTGGTTTCTTTTGGATACCTTGAATTAATTCTTAAGAATTAATTCTTAAACCTTTGGACCTGGAAGCCCATTCATGGGCGGGGACACCTTCCACTGTCCCAGGCTGCTCCAATCCCTGTCCAGCCTGGCCTTGGGCACTGCCAGGGATCCAGGGGCAGCCACAGTTGCTCTGGGCACCCTGTGCCAGGGCCTGCCCAGCCTGCCAGGGAACAATTCCTAATTCCCAATATCCCATCCTCTTGTCCTGCCTCTCTCCATTCACTTACCCCAGCTCCCTGCACAATACCTTTTATCCAACAACATTCCAACCCCCTGCAGGTGTTCTTACAGCTCTGATTTTCCTTTCCTTGCCTCCCTGTGCTTCCCTTTTCCAGGGGCAGCCACAGCTTCCTAGAATCCCATTGTCTGGCAGTGTGAAGCCATTCAGTCTTGTCTTGTCCCTCCATTCACTCATCCCAACTCCCTGCACAACACCTTTTATCAAACAACATCCCACCCCATGAAAGTGTTTTTTTCAGCTCTGATTTTCCTTTCCTTGCCTCCCTGTCCTTCCCTTTTCCAGGAGCAGCCACAGCTGCTCTGGGAAATCCAATCCAGGGCCTGCCCACCCTCAGGAACAACTCCTAATTCCCAATATCCCATCCTCTTGTCCTGCCTCTCTCCATTCCCTTATCCCAACTCCCTGCACAACACCTTTTAACCACCAACATCCCAACCCCCTGCAGGCATTTTTCCAGCTCTGATTTCCCTTTCCTTTGCCCCTTTTCCCCTCAGGGCAGAAGGAGGATGGTGCACGCCGAGGCCTTCTCGAGGCCCCTGAGCCGCAACGAGGTGGTGGGGCTGATCTTCCGCCTCACCATCTTCGGGGCTGTCACCTACTTCACCATCAAATGGATGGTGGATGCCATTGACCCCACCAGGAAGCAGAAGGTGGAAGCTCAGAAGCAGGTAGGATTGCATTCTGCACTCTTTGCTTGGGATCTTGAGGAATGAGGGAAGGTGGAGTTTGTTAGTCAGTCCCGGGGTTTAGTTGTTGGTCTGTTCAGGTTTTATAATGAATTGCAGTATAGAGCAAATGAAAAATAACAAATTTTTATAACAAATTGCAGTTTCCAGCTTGAAGTGGTGGCAAAACTGTGGGTCTAAACTGTTGCTGAAAATCAGAGCTGGTTGCTCTCATTTTCAGCAATTCTGTGAACCTTGTGCCTCCTCTTCTTCTGAGGAGCTGAGCAGCAGTGGCCTTAAATCATCAATCTCTTTATTAACCTTGAATTAATTATTGAGAATTAATTAATTCTTAATTCTTAAACCTTGAGAATTAATTCTTAATTCTTAAACCTGGACTTAATTCTTAATTTAAAAGAGAACTTGAAATCTCTGCATTTCTGGCAACTTAGTGAAGGCAGAGACCTTCACCAGCAGTCTAAATGCCTTGGAAAAGGGAGGGAAAAAATGAAAAGCCTCATTGCTTACCTTGAACTGGAACTATTTGTGCTCTGGAAAAGCTTTAGGGGCCCTTCAGAACCAAAAGTTAAAGTTTGCTTTAGAAATGTGGCAGCTTTCTTTTGGTTTGGTTTCTGACTGACAGGAATTTCACAGGTTTTGAGCAACCTGTGTTGGGTGGTTTTCCTTCTGTAATGAGATTTTCAATTGAAAACCAACTTTCCCCATGGGTTCAGTGCCAGCTGTTATCTAAGAGGCTGCACTGTCCCAAAACCTTGTTGGACTTACTGCAACTTTGAGCAGAAAGAGAAACTGAATTGTGCAAGTGTGTTGGCACAACGAGTTTTCCTTGTAAATGAGGGAAAACCCACTGAACACATATTAGAAATTGACTTTTGGGAATTTAAAAATAGATTAATTTCTCCTTGAGTCATGTGAAAATATATTAATCTCTCGAAGTGTTCTGGAGGCTTGGGGGACACACTCTGTGTTTTAAGGTTTGTTGTGGTTTTTTTTAAGTCATAGCAGAGAAGTTGTGGGTTTGGGCATGTGAGGGTCCAAGCATTTGTTTGATGGGAACTGAGACATCTGACTTGGTTTCACTCAAGTGACAACAAAGTCATTAGGAAACAGCAGAACTTAAACAAGATTTCACCTCTTAGGGAGAAGCTTTTCAAACCACAACCAGCAGTTGTTTAAAAAAGCTGATTTTTGAGTGAAGCATTCCATTTCTTCCTTTGATTTTCCTGCTGTTTGGTTCCCCCAGGCCGAAAAGCTGATGAAGCAGATAGGAGTGAAGAATGTGAAGCTGACTGAGTATGAGATGAGCATTGCTGCCCACCTGGTGGACCCTCTCAGCATGCATGTGAGCAACTTCCCTGCAAAACCCCCATTTGTCCCTGGCTTGCATTGTTTGCACCTCTGTGGAAATATTCCCGTGATCTAAAACTGCCTCACAGAGAGCAGAGAGTTTTAATCCCTTTTCTCTTTTATTTTCAAGCCACTCTTTGAAGCTGGTGGGTGCTTTTCCTTGGCAGGATCAGTGCTGATCATTCCCAACACTGGTTTTCCCTTGCAGGTGACCTGGAGTGATATTGCAGGTTTAGATGATGTCATCACAGATTTGAAAGACACTGTCATTCTGCCCATCAAGAAGAAATATTTGTTTGAGAATTCCAGGCTCTTACAGCCCCCAAAAGGTAGGAAGGGAATGTGTTGGATTTACACCTTGATATTTGAAATATAAAAGGTGCAGTTTTTCAGAAAGGGAAGAGGAAGTGGGTTGTTAGGTCAAAGTGCAAACATCAGGACCAGTGCCAGGGAAAACCCTCAGATTTTCCTTCTTCCCCTGCTTTGGTGAGGAAGTTTGATCTGAATAATGAAGCAGTAGCTGGATTTTGGTTGTGATGTCCATCATGGAATGATTTGGCTTGGCAGGACCTTAAATCCCATCAGTGCCATGGCAGGGACACCTCCCACTGTCCCAGCCTGGCCTTGGGCACTGCCAGGGATCCAGGGCAGCCCCAGCTGTGCCAGGGAACAATTCCCAATTCTCAGTATCCCACCCAAACCTCCCCTCTGGCAGCAGGAAGCCATTCCCTTTGTCCTGTCACGCCAGGCCATTACAATCCCTGTATCCTGTATTTTTAACTGTCTCAGTTGTCATTTCCTGTGTTGTCCTTTGGCAGAGTTGAGCTCTAACTCTGCTCTTTGACTCTCCTAAAATTGCCATCATTCAGCAGGACAGAAATCCCATTTTTCCTCTGGAGATCCCTTGATTCTCTCTGCAGTTGGGCTACACAGCCTAAAGGCAGGTGGAAGATTCATTTTCCTCAGTAAAACACAAGTTGGACTCTGCTGAAATCCCTACAGTCACATTTGTTGTATTTCACTGAAGAAAAAGATTTTTAAAAAAGCAGAATTTAAACCTAAAATGTTGGACAAACACCCAAGTTTACAGCTTTATTCCCTGAATATTGATTTCTGGAGCTCTCAGTTACTGCTGGATCTGTGAGCACCTCAAGGCTGCTCAAAGGGATGGAAAATGCAGCACTTTGGTGGCTGGTTTAGTTTTTCCAGGCTGCTTTCTGTGGAACTCACAAACTGAAGCTGTCTGGAAAATTACATGAATGCCATGATTTAATAAGCTGAAGGAAAAAATGATTTTTTTTTTAATTTATCTTTTTAAAGCAGATTTTCCAGCTCAGGCTGCTCCCCAGTTTTATGAGTGGCTTGTACTGGGTGTTAATAGGAAATCACTGCTCCAGAGTAATGATGTTTGTGGGCATCACTCACATAAACAGAGAAAAAACCTCAATAATTCCCTGTGTTTTGGGTTCTTTTAACTGAATGTTGCTCTTGAAATTGTTTTGAAATTGTTTTCTTTGTAACTGTGTTTAGAAAAACACTCCCGTGAATTCTTGCACTGTGACAAGTTTAAAAATAATACAAGATGTCATGTTTAATTGTGGGTAATTTGTTTTTAAACTGTCTGTGGGTCTGTTGTGTGATGGATTTTTCCTTTCCTCACTCCTCTGTGCTAAGGGCTGGAAGGAGCTGTAAATAAACCTGCCAGGACATAAATAGGGGTTAATTTGCTGTCCTGGGAGTGGAATAAAATGGAATCATGGAGTGGTTTGGCTTGGAAGGGACCTTAAAGATGATGTTGCAGCCCCACAATAAATCAGTCATCTCTCAGATGTTTCAGCTTCACCCTCCCTAAAAAGGGGAAAATTCCCCCACAGGGAATTGTCTTTGGTAATTTAACAGGGATTACCTTAAAACCTCTGATGGATGGAACGGTGTTCCCTTGGTTTGATTTCTTCCCTTTTAACTCTGTGAATTTTCCAGGAGTTCTTCTCTATGGCCCCCCTGGTTGTGGGAAGACCCTGATTGCCAAAGCCACTGCCAAGGAAGCTGGGTGCAGGTTCATCAACCTGCAGCCCTCCACGCTGACAGATAAATGGTATGGAGAATCCCAAAAGCTGGCTGCTGCTGTCTTCTCCCTGGCCATAAAGCTCCAGCCATCCATCATTTTTATTGATGAAATAGGTAAAAATCTCTTTTTTGTTTTATCAGTAGCCATGGCAGAGTGACATTGAACTGTAGGCTCAGTGATGTATGGATTTGCTGTCATCTTTTCCTTCACAAGGGTGAAGGCTCAGGAGGAGAAACAGAATTGTGAAGGAATGGTGGCACATTAGGAAAAACAATGGGTTTTTTTTCCTGGTGGTAGTGGAGGAATTCACAAGTAAAACAAATTCCTACTTAATTTTGGTTCATGAGGAAACCCACAACAAATACACTTCAGTGCTTCTGCTGTCAGGGCACATATGGGAGGTAAAATATGGTTTTAGGAGAGCTCTGGAATGGGAATTTCATAGGGCTGAAGGATAGGAGGGGAGGTGTGGAAACCCAAAGCACTGGGAATATTTCTCTGACCCTGGCCCCCAGGCGAGCACTGACTCTGACCCTCATTCATGGAGAAAGTTTCCTACACTCCAGAATAGACCAGAACCCACAAAAGTGTGCAATAGGTTATAGAGAGCAGTGCAGGTGTATCACTGGGTGAGAAATTGAGGTTTTGGGATTTTTAGTGTGTTGTGGATGGAAGCAAGATGGAGGGCACAGGGTGTCATCCTGGGCTTCTCCTTCATGCTGCTTCTTCCTCCTTCTCCATGGGTTTGGGTGGCATTTTGTAATTGGGTGGAAAAGTCCCCATTGCAGCTCTGTGGGATCAGTTATTGGGTTAAAAGGGAAAATAATCCAGGTGTCAGCTCTTAACTGGATAGTTTAGTCTTAAAAGACCTTGGGACAAGAGACTGTTGCCATTTTATGCCTTGCTGCTGAACTCACAGTAGTGAGGCTGTTTTACTGATAAGAAATGATAAACACCTGAGTCTGAACATGAGCTACTGTCTCAGTGCCTTCAATCCAGACCTAGAGGAGGGTCCAGCAGGGAAGCTGCTTTCCATGAATGCAGGTTAAGGTGAAAGGTGAAATTTTCATGCAGGTGAAAATTTGAAGCACAGGATGTGAGGAATCCCCTGTGATGGTGCACCCTTGTGTGGTGTCCTTGGAAAGGGAGCTTAGGAATGGGGGAGAATCCACTTTCACCCTTAGCAGCACTTGCTGTTTGCTGCCAGTGCTGATTGAAAACGCATGCATGAGATGAGAGAGCAGCCCAGGAGTGCATTCCTGAGGGGAATGGGGCTGGCAGTGACTGCATCCCTGCTTTGGCCCAGATTCCTTCCTGAGGAACCGATCCAGCACCGACCACGAGGCCACGGCCATGATGAAAGCCCAGTTCATGAGCCTGTGGGATGGGCTGGACACTGACTACAACTGCCAGGTGAGTCCCCAGGGTGTGCTGGGAGGGGGGATGGCATCCCCTCATTCCCTCATTCCCTCATTCCCTCATTCCCTCATTCCCTCATTCCCTCATTCCCTCATCCCCTCATCCCCTCATCCCCTCATCTCCTCATTCCCTCATCCCCTCATCCCCTCATCCCCTTCATCCCTTCATCCCCTCATTCCCTCATCCCCTCATCCCCTCATTCCCTCATCCCCTGATCCCCTCATCCCCTCATCCCCTCAGCTGGGATTTTGGGAACAGGGCTTGCCAAGGGTTCTGTACCTGTCAGTGATTCCCAGCACTTTATGGGAATGAGGGCAGTTGTACCCACAGGTCATTCCTGAGAACATTTGCTTTGTGCTTAGCTTGGTTTTAATCAAGAAGTGTTTCCAGATGAGGTGGGATGGGCTGTAAGGTCTCTCCCATCCCAAACCATTCTGGGATTCTGAATTCAGAAAGCTATATTTGAGTTATTCAGAATCCCAGAATGGTTTGGGATGGGAGGCACCTTAAAGCCCATCCCATCTCATCTGGAAACATCACTTCTTGATTGAAGTGCCATGGTGTCACCTGGGATAATATTCTCAAAGCCCTTCAACAGAATATTTATTCTCTAAATTGAAAATTTTCAGCCTTTTAAATGTATATTTTTGCATAAGTAGCTTTTTCTCCTCTCCCAAGCATGTGCTAAAGATGTTTTTCAGCTGATTTTTTCCCAAAATGAGCAAAAACCTGTGATGTGTGTGTACTGAGGGTTAAAGCTCCCCATTAGTAAAAAGCAGTGGTATGAACCCTTCACTGGAAACTGATATAATCTTCCAAGCAGAGTGCATTACCTTTTTTACCCAACACACTGCCAACTCCTTGGAGCAAATGAAATTATTCATTCCCTGCACCGAGACAATCTGGGGTCTCTCAAGCTCAGCAGTGTTTGCCTTTTGTAAGAAAAACCAGAATCCCAAATGCTTGAAGGAAATTGTAAGGAAGTGTTGAGGTGGATGTGCTGATCCCACCTGGAATTCCACACTCAGCTGGGAGGAATGGTTTCCTTTACCCGAATCAGGAAAATAAAGCCCAGAGAAGTGTGGATCATCCCGGAGCCAGCCATCCCAGTGCCTCTAGGTGGCAGGGTGACACTGCTGGGCCACCAACCCTGCTGGCCCTCCTTGCTGGAGCTGCTGGGCCTGGCCCGAAGGCAGGAGCAGGGCAGCAAAACCCTGGAGCCCGGGTTAATGACAATCCCCTGTTGTTTGTCACTGTCCTGCAGCCCAGATTAACCACCCTGTCGTTTGTCACTGTCCTGCTGGCTGTTCACCATGCACACAGCTTAGAGTAAGACAAGAGAACAAGGCAGCTGTGAATGGGGAGTCAATTTGTTCTGGAGTTAAGAGCTGGAGTGCTGCAGAGAGGTAAACACTGGCCTGGTGTTGGGCTTGCCTTTAACCCACTGCTCACCTGGAGCTCCTGGAATGCTTTTTTTGAAAAATTTTGGCTCAATTTTTACTGAATTTAAAAGAATAAAGACTCCAGGTGAACCCACTGCCATGGTGGTCTCCTAGAAGATGTCCCTGCTCATGAAGAATTGACAACAAAATGACTTTGAAGGTCTTCTCCAGCCCAAAACCTTCTGTGATGCTTTTTCCAGCACAGCACAAAAGCACCACATTTTTAAAGCACCTTCCCGAAACATCTCCTTTTGAATTCCACCAGGAACTAAGAGTGACATCACAAGCAGAAGTTTTAAGTTCCTCCTTGGGGTTTGAGATTTCAAGTTGGGCTCACTGAAATCTCCCCCCAGGTGGTGTTTGTGGCACCAGGGCTGCCCTTGCTGAGATCACTGCCAGGAAACCTCTTGGTAACTTCTGGAAATGTGATGCTGTTGATAAAGTGGGGGAGATCCCTGGCTGGTGCTGACATTCCCAGCCTGGGGATGTGTCCCAGCTCTGGTTTCTGTCTCTTGGTGTCACACAGGTGATTGTCATGGGGGCCACCAACAGGCCCCAGGACCTGGACTCTGCCATCATGAGGAGGATGCCCACCCGCTTCCACATCAACCAGCCTGTGAGTCCTGCCTGCCCTGCCCCAGGGGGCTTCTCCTGCAGCACTGCTGCCTCTGCTCACCTGGGTTTAGGGCTTTTGAAGCACATCCAGAACTCAGAGTTTTAAGGTGAAGTTGTGATCTCTTGGGGTTTTTATCTGGAACAACACCATGAGCTGCCCAACCCTGCTCTCCTCTGGGCGTGGAGCTGTTTGGGTGCTGCACACTGGGAAGGGCTGGTTTGTAACTCAGTTCTGCTCAGGCCTTCCACTCTGGAAAACCTGCCTGTGATGGGCTTGGAATGAGATGGATTTCAGCTCCCAAACCATTCCATGGTTCTGTGATTTATTAAGTTCTTTATCATTGTTCCAAATGTTGGTCCTGCCATCCTTTCCCAGCTGTTTCACCTTTGAATGCCTGCTGATGTGACCAGACATTTTTGTGTCAGTGTTATCAGGAGTTCAGTTGTGCTTGAATTCCCTCCTGGCTACAGAAATCATGATCCATTTTTGCTGAGAGCAAACTGGAGGAGTAAAATTCTTATTGATTGTGCAAGAGAGGAGCTGTGTTCCCACGCCTGTGTTGTTGGAACTGACTTTCCCTCCATGGGAGTGGATCCCTTTGGGAACAGCATTTATAACCTGTGTCACATTTATAAGCTGTGCTTCCACACCTGTTCCACTCATCTCCAGCTGTTCCTGCAGTTAGAAGGGGGCAAAAATTTGGATTTGAGAACTTTGTGGTGCCATTCTATCAAGCCCCATCTTTATTATGTGCCCTGGGAGGTTACAGGGATTGGCTCCCTCTCCCAGGAGAACAGATTTTCCCTACCCCCCTAGAGCCCTGCCATGAGCTTACAGCTGCTCTGGGCTTTGTGATCAGCCCAGACTGGCCCTGACTTTCACTGCAGCTGGAATAATTGTTGTGCTGTGGCTTGGGAACAGGCAGGGGCAGCAGGGAAAGCCTTGCAGATTTTGTAACTGAGTTTGAGATGAAAAGGCCCCAAATTACTCATCAAAAATTGCCTGCAAAGCAGAGGGAAATGGCAGGAGTGGGTTTTGGGACAGAGGAGCAACTTTTCAGCTCCCAAATTGTCTGTGGGGGGATTTTTCCCCTTTTTAATGATGGAAGTGAGGTTGGGCAGGCACAAACCCCAGTGTTTGTTGCCTGTGTTTGGCCTTCCTAGGAAGGATTCTTCAGTAACCTCCAGCACTGAGTTAGACACACAATTCTGCCTCTAAATCCCTCAGTTTGGGGCTGTGCAAAGCAGGATCAGGTGTGCAGACAGCAGGATTCTGAGAAACTCGTGGGAAAAGGGGTCACTGTTCTGGGATCCAGGTTTTGCCAGGCAGGAGTGGGGTTAGTGCAGGATATACCCATGGGGTGTGTGGGGTTTCTGTGGGGTTTTGGTGCAGTTTTGAATCACACTGTGTGTGATTTAGGTGGTTTAGAATTTCCCAAGCATCACCTGTGGAAGGGAATTTGCCATCAGAGAGGTTCCCTCAGTGTGTCACATGTCCTGAAAGCCCTGGGGTGTCACAAGTGTTCATTTTTGTCCTCTGGTGATTCAGTCTCCTCTCTTTCAGGCTCTGAAGCAAAGAGAGGCCATCCTGAAGCTGATTTTGAAGAATGAAAATGTGAGTAGCTCCTGGCTGCATGGCTGCCCCCAGTGCAGCCCTGGCCCTGCACAAGGTGTGGTTTGTGAGGTGATGTGCCAGGGCCCTGTGCTGAGAACTTGGGAATCCTTTGTGGCTTTAGGTGTGGCTGCCATTAAAGGCCTGCATGGGCTCCTTTGTGAGCAGGAGCCTTGGCTTGTGTGAATCACCCCCTCTGAGCAGTGACTCCAGTTCTGGCTCCATTTGCTTGTTCTCTCTCTAAAAAGGTGCAGCTGATTCATGTTTAGATCAGGGAAGGAAATTTGAAGGAAATCAAGAAGGTACTGACTTTAAACTCTTTAACTCTGTCTTGGCTCAACTCAAGCAAAGAGCAATAACTTTTTTTGACAGTGCTGCTTTTGATCCCTAATTCAAATTTCAGAGGAGAAGGAAAGGATGAGGTGTGAGCACACCTGAAAGGGAATCCCTGTTCCTCAGAGCTTCCTCCCAAATTTAGTCAGCAGCACTAATTGCCTTCAAGTTTTTGTTGCAGTGTCTGTAGGCTGAGCTCCAGCCTAATAAATAGAATTTATTAGTAAAACCAACTTGAATTTTTTTTTGAAGAGGTCTAAAAATGGCAGCTCACCAGCAGGGAACCACACAAATTAGTTTTTCAGGGAGATAAAAAATAGCCTGTATTGGTTATCCCACAGGAGGAGGAATTGGATCTCTCAAACTCACACTTCACATGGCAAGGGGAATTTTGCCCTCTCTTTTCCTTGCCTGATTTAAACCATGATTTTAGGGAATAGTTTCCCTCTTGAAAGAAATAATCCCAGAATTCCAGCCTTTTGTTAGACTGTTAGGTTTAACTTTTTAAAAAGGAAAAAAATTATGCACATGGTGGGAAAGGAATCAGAAATTTCATAAAAAGATGGAATAAACCTGAGGTCTTGCTTGGCAAGAATTCAGCCTGACCCAGTGCACTGAGTTAGACACAGAATTTTGTCTCTAAACCCCCCAGTTTGGGGCTGTGTAAAGCAGGAACAGGTGAGAAACTCATGTGGGCTCCTGGGAAAAGGGGTCACTGTTCCTGGGATGCAGTTTTTGCCAGGCAGGAGTGTGATTAGTGCAGGATAATCCA